CATGTTCCGATAAATCTCGACCTTAATCAACGAGGCTCTCGTGAAGGCCACAAACCACTACACTTATCAAATGAGCCCAAGATTTCTGGTTAATGTCATTCTTTGTTCACAGCCCCCTGATCCATGACATCATTTATAAGAACATAGGTATGCGTAGCATGGGTGTTTTCTTCTTGATTTGTGTTCTTTGTTTGAAAGAAATTTGATCATATGAACTAACGTTTAAGCGTTTGACGAAAATGAAATACCGTATGCATAAATCAGTTGATTGGACAGCTCGTTAAAAGGAAATGTGTAGCAGCGAGAGAGGAGAATTAACCGTCAGATCTTGGGAGTTAAGGGGTTTGAGTCTTTTGGAGTGATAGAATTATCATTAGCTCTTCGGATTAGACAGAGATACTCTGCTAGATTAAATCGTTTTGTAAAGAATCCTTTGACGGTGGTATATATGCGTTAATAACGAAAATCTGAAAAGGAGAGGCGAACATTAATTAATATGACACGAGCAGCAAAAAATGTTTAGTGAAGACGTACATCAATCAACAAAAAAGTCTTTCTTGGCGCTCCTTCCTAGTTCCCAGAGAAGAGTATGCGTAGCCTCCATGCTAAAGTTTTAAACTGCTTTCCCCTACGAAGGAGACTGTCAGTGTAGCTCAGTTCAATGAACAATAGCTTTGTAAAATTATTTTAAAACATTTGCGCTCGTTTTCTACTCACTTGGAATTAGAAATGTGAATTCAAACTTTCTGCGTCCCTAGAGATAGATTGTGAACGCAGTCTCGTCTGGCTACCACGATCGCAAAACATCTTAGCGATCTCGTGTTTACCAATTAGTTCACCTTCCCTGGAAATGGTTTCTTGTTGCTGTTCACCTTCCTCGAGTGTAACATCAACGACACCACTGTCTTTTACCGCATCTACAGGAGAGGGCGCGAATTACATCCGTTCGTTTTCTCTCTGGCTGTAGCTGGATGCAATTCAAGACCATGCAAAAGACCAGGGCGTTAATACAGAATCAACGAACTGATCTTTTTATTTTTGAGAGAACGTGAGAAAATACATGTATTCATGCGAAGTCTAGATGTGAAAAAGTAAACAAAAGTAGTTAAATTTCCTGTCAGTTACTCGGTATATTTGCCCTTCGTCTACAAAAAAGTTGAATTGTTACTCTAGTAGTAATGAATATTTCAGCTACTATAACTTCTCTGACTATATACCTTAGTGAACTTCATTGTATCAGGAGCCCATTCCTCATTATATTCAATGCAATTTGTGTCTTATTTCTTTATCGGACGGTGTTCAATTCACTCTTTTTTACACAGTAAATGAAAAGTAAACAATTTCTATTAGCCAGCAATTAGCAAGGTGTTCCTAACCTTGAGTTCACTTAATTACGTTGTCCTCAACTCAATTTTAAAACTGTGACATGGCGAAAAAACTGACTCTTCAGCATTACTCTTTTCATAGAGGAGGGAAGGGAGGGGAGGGGAGGGGAGGGGGGGCTTCAGAAAACATTCCAGCTAGGAGTCGATCAGATTTAAATCTCAAATCGATTTGCTTTCCCTCGTAAAATAGAGAGGCGATCAAAAACATGAATAAGACCCAATTCCTTTGTAATTTGTGTCTGATCTGACTCCCCTCCCCTAGTACCCACTAATTGACCAGATCATTTTTTATCCCTACCCCACACCCCTAAGAACTAACCTGACACCTAATACGTATATTAGGAATGAAATTTCCTCTACAGAACAGTCGAATTTAAGATATCTTTTCGCTTCCGAAAGCTTAAACATTCGGAACTGCTTTGAAATAAGCATTGGTTATATAACACAAGCGATATTCCCAAATTTGCAAACCTTTCGTCCACCACGACAAGTCAATTCAGGATAAGTTAGACTTATCATCTGAGTTGATTACGTAAATTGAAAGCTCATGTTTCGAGCGTTAGCCCTTTGCAATTGCTCTGACGAAGGGCTAACGCTCTTTATTATTTCTTTTATTAATTGAACGAAGTAAGCTGTTCCTTAACATTTTTCACGTGCGTTGCAAAGTATTTGAAGGATATAAAAACACAACAGCTTCTCTTTTGCTCGAAAATATGTACGGATATTTGTCCTTAGACATTATCTGTTCCTTGAAGCTCACAATTTCCATCCATGTCCATCGGCGTTCAAAACCATGTGGCAATAAGGAGAACGATAGACAGTGAAAGAGATACAATCGAAGAGATGACGCGCTTTTGTAAAGTGGGCGGGGGCTTGAAACATGAAATGTTAGTACACTGTTAGCTGCACACATTATCAACTCAGCGTGCGGGTCAAAACACGCATTGAAGTCCCCTTAGGATCTGCTTTATCTATATCTTACGTGCATCCTAAGAATATGGAGACAGACAATGTCAATCAACGCAGTTTTTGTATTTTATACACTTTATATTTCTCTTACACAAAGAAGTAAAAAAATAAGCACAATAGAAACTGCATTTAATCGTTCAAGGCATTAAGTGAAATACACGCTAAACGGAGACACTAAAATGAACCCATTTACTCCCAAGACTGATCATTATTTAAATTCTCCTCACAGTATTAATACACCGACAAACATGGTGTCAATAACAATTAGAGAAAATCCAAACTGGAAGATAATCTTTTACTAGAAACGAAATGTGACATCGAATTCTCGGAACAAGCGGCAGCAAAGAGAAACACATTCTTATCAGTTGGGAGAATGTTTCCTCAGAAGTTGGGAGTTCATGAGTTAATTAATATAAACTGAGGTAAATGAACAATTATCTTCAACTTAAAATAAAAATAGCATCAAAACACTTCACACGAAATACACTGACATTATACAAACCATGTTTAGTTGAAACTGTCCCAGCATGTCTTTAAAATCCTATGTTACATCAGTATATTCAACCATGTGTGAGGTTAACTATTACATTTTACACCAGTATTTACCAATGGTAGTTACAATTATCTGCAAAACTAAGATTGATTTTACAAAGCTTTCTTTTAAAACAACAGTGATACAGTATATCTTAAAACTTTTGACCACATAACAGGTTCTAACTACAAAGTGTGCTCTAAATACCAAACTATAAATTCTTAAACCTGACAAAGATATTGTCAAACATCTTCAAACTAAGCTGAGGTAAATTTAAAGCAAAGAAAAAAATTTGAAGAGGTGATTTTCAACAATTAGAAGTTTTATCCTGAAGCCCTGAACCTTTTCAACTACGCACTAGGTTTACATTAATTAATGAGCCTTTTCACCAAATAATTCCCATTGAGGACTACATGGCTTACTTTGACTGCAACAAATTCCATGTAAAAGACAATAAAATTCACACCTATGGAAACTTTAATTATAGTGAACTCTGCGTCCCTCTTTCCTAGTTTAGATTACATGGACAATTTTTAGCCTCTCTGTTGTGGTTCTTTAAAACGAACGGATAAGTGTTTGGTAAAACGGACAAAAATTGGCCAGACTCGTTTGATTGAAAACAGGGTTGTAGCCAGCTTTTTGACTAATTGTATGCCTCTTCCCTCAGAAATTTCAATTTTTGTTTCAACATTTGCAAGAGTCATATCATCTTTCAGTAAAAGTCAAGCGGGCAGAAAATAATTGTAGGCCGGGCTTACGGAACTTGAGGCTGGCTACACCTCTAAAAGTAGGTGTAATGTTTCTAACATATGGTTAGTAAATTTAATAACATCATCTCTGATGTTAACTTCAAATTGAGCTTAGAATGGCAACCTTGGCACTGACAGAACTTGTTGAAAAAATGGTAATCAATTTTTTTGTAAAGATGAAGGTAAATTGTAACAAAATCATTTATGATGTAGAAAACGGTCTAAGATCAATTCACATATTCAATTGACATTCATATTCAATAAAAGTTTTGGAAATAAAAATTCGCCAACTTTTGCAAATGATGAATTGTTTCTTTGCTTATCAAAAGCTTAGAGCATAAAGGTAATTAAAATCCGATGGAAGAGCCCCTGGTTGGGTAAAAGAAATAACCTTTCCATACAACTGATTGTAATACAGGAACAGAGCTGAGTGACATGTTGGTGGAAATGGAAACCTCGTTCATAACAGAGGCTTTGTTGCATTTCGTTCTCTTCTCAAGCATTTAAGGTAACAAGCATTTAAGGTAACAAAAAAAGACAATTCCACTGATCAAAATATAATGAAATAGACTGCTTTTATTTCTTCACCAAAGTAAAGTTACACATCTCAAGTTCCATTTAACAAAAAAGTAAAAAGTAAAGAAAAATAACCAAAAATTGTTTAAAATAGAGAAACATTTAAACCTTCCAAGTTCCTACGTCATTCTTTTGAGATGAAAAAACATTTTTTCTCATTTATTTGATTTTCTATCCAAATTTTCTCTTTCCTTTGCCATCATGTCAAAAGTGAGGTCATCTCCAATCAGCTTAAAGGGCGCCCAGTATCTGATGTCGCGGAACTTATCTGATTCTCTGAGGCTTTTCATGGCCAGGTTCAGTGACTTGCTTGTAGGTTTACCTTCTGCAAGGTGTTGATAAAAGCATTTCATGAACTCGAGAGTAGCCTCGTCATCAATCGCCCACAGGGACACCACAACAGACCGAGCACCAGCCCCCATAAAAGCGCGCGCAATGCCAACCACACCTTCAGCCTTGATCTCGCCCCGACCACTGTGGCAGCAACTGAGCACAACAAGTTTGGCGCGAAGTTGAACATTCGACACATCTCGAATTGTTAAAATGTAGTCCTCCTTCTCCGTAGGCACAGTAGATATTCGATCTAGGTCAGGTGTAAGGGCAATTTCGCCAGTTTCCGGACATCCGTGTGCCGCAAAGTGAACTAAGGAAACGGAACTGAGTCTTTTCAACACCTCACGTTTCGTGGCCTGTCTGCCAGTGATTGGCGTGATATTCAGAATTTTTCCGATCATTTCTACTTCTTCTTTAGCACACGGAAGCTGCTCGAGGGGTTTCAATCCCTCACTGTTAGTAACCTCGGATACCCACGGATCTCCCACAAGTAACGCACCACTGCTTTTTGTGATAATCATCTGGGCAATCGGCAATGAGTCTAAGACTTGTTAACGATGGAGCGACTCGGATTGTGAACGATTCACACAGGTATTTAGAATTACCATCCTTCAATGCAGCGTAAGGAGCGATCCACAGGGGTCCATCAGGAATAATGAGTAGCTCATCCCCTTGAATCAGGTCAGCCACCGGCTTCATAACGATATCATACAAACTGCTCAAGCATTCATCTTGTTGGATGTGAGGTTGAGGGTTGGCTTCTTTGGTTGTCTCATCCACTTTTGAACGGCCCTCCCTCAAAGCATCCAAAGATCGATTCTCGCATCTCACATTAGAACGAACACCAAGTTGTGTATAGACACCGAGCATGAACGACTCAAAGGACTGGCTAGATCTACTATTCTCTGAAACAAAACCTTTGAGTTTACTTTGTCTTAACTGAACTTGTTTTCCTTCGGGCACAACCCAAAGATTGACGTTAGCTTCGTCCACTGCCTGAAAGACAGTGTTTGATGGAACGTTTTTTAAAACTGCGATATCTTCATCTTCTCCCTTGTGCTGACTTGTTCCACCAAAAAAACTGGATTCCATGAGGTCGGTCAGGGCTTGAGCTCGTCCTTTCTCAGCAACAAATAAGGCTTCGTCTACATTACCTTGTTCTACGAGAACTCTCCACAAACCCGTATACGCCATTTGATGCTGATTTCGAAAACTAACTTTCCACTCATCTTTAGATTTTAGAAGTACTCTCAAGGAATTGTATAAGTTTATGCTAGCTTGGTAATGTTCAACGGCTTTTGGTAGTCCACCTTGCAGCTCAAAAACGCATCCTAATGAATAGTAGCCAAATGCCTCCAAGCATTTGTCTCCTACTTCTATAGCTATTTTAATATGTAGATTGTGGTACTCTATGGCTTTTTTGAAATCACCCATACTAAAATAAGCAGTGCCAAGATTGCCATAAGCAACACCCTCCCCATGCTTGTCTCTTACTTCTTTAGCTATTTTAAGATGTAGGTTGTGGTACTCTATGGCTTTTTTGAAATCACCCAGACTGTCATAAGCATTGCCAAGATTGCCATAAGCAACACCCTCCCCATGCTTGTCTCCTACCTCTTTAGCTATTTTAATATCTAGGTTGTGGTACTCTATGGCTTTATTGAAATCACCCAGACCGTGATAAGCATTGCCAAGATTGCCATAAGCAACACCCTCCCCATGCTTGTCTTCTACTTCTTTAGCTATTTTAAGATGTAGGTTGTGGTACTCTATGGCTTTTTTGAAATCAGCCAGTCTAAAATATGCTTTGCCAAGATTGCCATAAGCGTTACCCTCCCCTTGCTTGTCTCCTACTTCTTTATCTATTTTGAGATGTAGGTTGTGGTACTCTATGGCTTTTTTGAAATCACCCAGACTGTCATAAGCATTGCCAAGATTGCCATAAGCAACACCCTCCCCATGCTTGTCTCCTACTTCTTTAGCTATTTTAAGATGTAGGTTGTGGTACTCAATGGATTTTTTGAAAGTACCCATACTAAAATAAGCATTGCCAAGATTGCCATAAGCGTTACCCTTCCCATGCTTGTCTCCTACCTCTTTAGCTATTTTAAGATCTAGGTTGTGGTACTCTATGGCTTTATTGAAATCACCCAGACCGTGATAAGCATTGCCAAGATTGCCATAAGCACCACCCTCCCATGCTTGTCTTCTACTTCTTTAGCTATTTTAAGATGTAGGTTGTGGTACTCTTTGGCTTTTTTCGAAATCACCCTGACTAAAAGTAGCATTGCCAAGATGGCCATAAGCGTTACCCTCCCATGCTTGTCTCCTACCTCTTTAGCTATTTTAAGATGTAGGTTGTGGTACTCTATGGCTTTTTTGAAATCACCCAGACTGTCATAAGCATTGCCAAGATTGCCATAAGCAACACCCTCCCCATACTTGTCTCCTTTTTCTTTAGCTATTTTAAGATGTAGGTTGTGGTACTCAATGGATTTTTTGAAATCACCCAGACGGCCATAAGCATTGCCAAGATTGCCATAAGCGTTACCCTCCCCATGCTTGTCTCCTACTTCTTTAGCTATTTTAAGATGTAGGTTGTGGTACTCAATGGATTTTTTGAAAGTACCCATACTAAAATAAGCATTGCCAAGATTGCCATAAGCGTTACCCTTCCCATGCTTGTCTCCTACCTCTTTAGCTATTTTAAGATCTAGGTTGTGGTACTCTATGGCTTTATTGAAATCACCCAGACCGTGATAAGCATTGCCAAGATTGCCATAAGCACCACCCTCCCCATGCTTGTCTTCTACTTCTTTAGCTATTTTAAGATGTAGGTTGTGGTACTCTTTGGCTTTTTCGAAATCACCCTGACTAAAAGTAGCATTGCCAAGATGGCCATAAGCGTTACCCTCCCCATGCTTGTCTCCTACCTCTTTAGCTATTTTAAGATGTAGGTTGTGGTACTCTATGGCTTTTTTGAAATCACCCAGACTGTCATAAGCATTGCCAAGATTGCCATAAGCAACACCCTCCCCATACTTGTCTCCTTTTTCTTTAGCTATTTTAAGATGTAGGTTGTGGTACTCAATGGATTTTTTGAAATCACCCAGACGGCCATAAGCATTGCCAAGATTGCCATAAGCGTTACCCTCCCCATGCTTGTCTCCTACTTCTTTAGCTATTTTAAGATGTAGGTTGTGGTACTCTATGGCTTTTTTGAAATCACCCAGTCTAAAATAAGCATTGCCAAGATTGCCATAAGCAACACCCTCCCCATGCTTGTCTCCTACTTCTTTAGCTATTTTAAGATATAGGTTGAGGTACTCTATGGGTTTTTCTTCTCGATTAGAGAGGTCTATGACTTTCTTGACATCACCTGAACTTTCACTACGATGGTCATGACTAATAGGATCTTTCTGCTCCATGGACTTATCTCCCACTTCACTGACAGACTGAAGTCTTAATGACAACAAGATCCTATTGTTTTTGTCAATCTTTTTTATGTTAAGGTTAAAAAATGTAGAAAAAAAAAGGATAATGTTTCTGATCATATTGATATGTAATATGTAGTCCATTTTAACATTTGCGTGCTTGGTTTCCAAGCCTCTGAACAAGAGCGATGGGTAAGGGTGACCTTGTTATGATAAAAACATTGCTGCTTTTTAAATGCAAACTACTTTGTTATTATCATCACTAGATACTGGTCTATCACAATAAGGTAACCTTCAGCTTCACTCCAAATCAAAGGCTTGGAAACTAAGTACACAACTATAAAATGGCTTATAGGAGGGATTGCATGAAAGGTAGATGTTTTATCAACATTCAGTCTTAAAGTCAGTTATGAAGTTAATCTACATTTCAAAAAATTTTTTTTCTGTGTGCAGCCTCAAAATTTAACACGAAATATCTAGATTTAATCCGTTGTTTCCAAAAACTGAGCAGCACTTGCTCAATTTTTAAATTAATATAGCTTTAACATCAGATGAATGTTTTACAGCAGTGGAAGAAATGAGTCTACAACACAAATATGTGTCTTTAAAATTTTTATTTGTCCATAGGAAAGCACAACGAAAGTTTCCGAGTCTCTAAGTAGTGGAAAAAGGTCGAAGGCAAGAAAATCTGCATAAGATATGTACCATGTATAAACTGGATGAATATTAGTCTTTTAACCCAACTAATTTCCATGAGTGACCAAGAGAGAATTTCTCCTTACAATAGCAATACAATATCAATCAGATAAGTGTTGAGAGCAAAAAAAATATCAATTTGGGGATAATTAGTTGATCCAATACCGAATTCTCTGAACTAACATTACAAAAATTGTACGGTTAACAGTAAGGATAATTACAAACTTGGTCTATGAATTAAAGGGTTATCTAAACTAATGCAACAGTTATTGGCATGGATAGCATAACTAAGTCAAATTGGCTAAAAGGAGTAATATCATTAATAATTCATGAGGTAATAGCTTTTCCCACGTTTTTTAATCACACACACTTATAGTATGAACTGACAAGTTCCCATCATAATTAATTCTTTGTATTTTCTCCCTTAAAACATGAAATTATGGAAACTATTTCCATTATACCCATGGTTAAAAATGAAAGATTTCTTCAAAGGATACAGCTAGTCCCTTATCACACCAAGTGATTGCTTCTTCAAATCTCTTCAATTCAACACAAGCAGTGGCTCCTGTAGGTAACAACACAAAAAAGCTAAATTATAGTTGTATCATAGCTCAATTCTGAGAAAAGAACCTGAAACCATTGAAATCATTACAGACTAGAAGAAAAAAAAGACAAAACAAAACAAAGAAACCAAGTGGAAAAGAATAAACAGGCCCTATTAGGTTTCAGTTAGATTTATTTAGCTTTTAAGACAACTGAAACTTCTAAGAACATTTATTAAATTGGGACCAACAATTCCCACAAAATCACGAGTTAGGTAAGTCTTGATCCTTACTTCTTTTTTTAAAAGAGCTAGATAGTGACTTAACATAACTGAAACCTGTGACTCATTGAACTTAAGGAACTAAAATATTCTTGCCAAAATTTTGCTTTCACATTGAGTTCTTCATCCCGCTCAAAATAATATTCTCATCATTAAATTAATGGAAAGTTAAATGGCATAACAGTCAAGAGCTGGATTTAAATGTACACCAAGGTGGTCTCCACCTCTTAATTAAAGTCAATTGAGACAAGATTGAATTTCATTTAACCTCATTCAACCTTAGAGTGTTGAGTTCTTTTATTATTATTATTATTATTTTTATTATTATTAATATTATTATTATAGCACAGCTAACATATCTAACCTCTCACAATTGCCTTAAGGAAAGTTGGATTTAACTCAATGGCTGCTTCTGCATCCCTTAGTGAATCCTGGTGATTTCCTGTTAGTGAAATAAATATCTCTGATTTGCCATACATGTTGCAAACCAACTACCATTACTATAATTTTGGGAAGAACTTGTGATGCTTGTTGATATTTGGGTAAGAGGTTACTTCTTTGTATATTTGAGAGGCCAAGTTGAGATGTATCTTAATTTTTCCGGGCATGCATTCAAAATTATCTCTTTTTTCAGAAAACTACTATTGACAGCCCATTAGCTTCAAAAGAGAAAAAAAATGTCTATTAAAGCTCTCATCATCTTACCAAGTTTAGAATGTGCAATAGCCCTGTTGTTGTGCAGTTTGGCTTTCAGTTCTTTCTCATTGCAGTTCATTTTAATTCCTTTGGTGTAAAAATGAATAGCATTGATGAAATCTCCTTTCTTGAAGGCCTCATTACCCTCATTCCTATAAACATCTGCTGTGGCTGCAAAGAAAGAATAAAAGAATTTATAAAAAAAATAAAAGAATTAAAAAAAATAAAAGAAAAAATAAAATAATGTGTCAAAGTCTGTGGCTGTAGTTGATATCTATTAGTGTATAATCAGAGCTGCCAAGATCTGGAGATTTAAAATCTACAGATTTTCAATAGTTATGATGATGCTAATGATGTAGGTGACAACATGGGTAAGAATAATGATGAATTATAAGCATCACTCAACTTGAGGCAAACCGCTGGACATTTAAATTTTTGGATAGGTTTCCTAAAATTCCTATTCCCTGGGCAAAATTAATAACGTGTTCAAATGCACCACACAATTTTTAAGTAAAAAGCAAAATAATTAGCAATTTGACTTTCAACTAATTGATCAAGCTTTAAAAACTAATTGATCAAGCTTTAAAACTTATTTCTTAGCCTTATTTCTTCTGAGCCATTTGTTAGTGAAAGTGCTCTATCTACCTTTCAAACACCTCAATATTCAATGATAATTACATGTAACACTTGTATTCTACTGGAAATTAGATGTGATGGTTTATATTCAAATTCCATAATGCCAGTCAACCCCCCCCCCTTACCCCTTTTGGCTTGGTTGATGATCAAATGCCTGTGGGTTGCTCAAGGAGAAGGGAAGAAATGTTGAAGCTTTCAAAGTGATTGTTTCATTGTAATAGAAAGATGATGGTGATGAAGATGGTGGTACCTATGATGCAAACTTACACAATGGATGTTATATGATGATCAAATAAAGTCTTAACTTATTATAACTTTGTGTTATTGCTTTGAACTTTTAGAAAAGAAAATGACAAAGGTTTCTGTGTTATAGATCCTCTAAATGAACAGCATATTGTAATCATAGAAGAGAGTCATGACTGGCCAAATATCTTTTAAAGTAGTCATACAGTGTATAATACATCCTCTTGAAACTGGTGGAATAGAAAAAGTTCTAACAATAACTGAAGCTGAAGCTCAACACAGCTCACCTCGCAAGGTGTCCTCATCAAAATCTGGTGCATTTTCTATGTCAGGCAAGTCTTCATTTTCACATGAAACTTTAATTGGACTTCTTTCTGTAGCCATAGCAACTGTAAGAAGACTGATGCTTCTTACAATGTTGCTGTTTTAAGTTATCTTGGCCTGAAAGAAAGTTGGTTGTAAATGGTAATAAACATCAGCTCAACATATTATCCAGTTGTAAAATAAATATTTTTTCCCTTCTGAGAATGGAAGGGATACATAGACACAAAATCACAAGCAATTAATATCATACTACAAAAGCAGCAAAAGAACAAAGATATATATATATAATATAATTCAATATTTACAAAATACATTTGCATTTGACTGAAATAAATTGGGCAAGTGTTGTAAGTTTGTATAATTTGTTTCAACAGCAATTCAAATTATTTAAGAGGCTGTAGGTAGTTAGGTAAAGTCTGTATTTGAGCAGTGGCCCATCCAGGCCCTGAGCTTATAATACTGGTTTCCTCACATGAAGTGAGTGGGAGTAACAACACCCCTTGGACGGGATGCCAGTCCATCCCCTTTCCCTCTGGCATTTCATCAAGCTTACCTGGCTAATTTCTGCTACCCATTCAGAGGTAAACTTTACTCAGATACCGATCTATCATTACCAGTTGATGAATTGGATTCCTAAAAATCAAACACAGTTAATTGAAAGAACACTTGCAATAAATCACTAGCTGACATTTGAAGAAAAATCATCGTGTCTAAATATTTAACATAGAAATCAGTATAACAGTACAGTTAAAAGGGAGAATCTAAGCAGTCTATCAAAAAAGGAAAAAAAATTACTTTTAAACTATATAAAATAGTAAACATAAACACGTGAAATAAGCTGGAAATGTTTATAGGTTTTTGATCAAATGCATCGTAAATACGGGAGCACATTAAATTAATACTTATGTTAGCCTGACACGAAAGCTAGTGCAAAACACGATCATGATTGTGTGCATGACACGCAGACGAAACTGAAAGTGTTCCGATCATCGGCGCCTGCACAAAATCAAATCCATGACTCTAATATTCCTTTCAATTCTCCCGAATTACTTATTTTATCCAAGGTTAATGCCGGGTATTGCCTGCGAATTTTTGTGAAGTCGACAGCTGTAACTTGTTCAAACAAGCTCAGCTTAATTAGCTCTAAGTAACACGAAGCGGCAATACAATTTATACACCCAAGAATCAAGTTAAAGTTAGCGATCCTCGTTAGTTAACCGCAGGAACGTCTTTCATTGCCGGAAATCAGAGAAAATTAGAACATATTAAGAGCATTTGAGGGAGAAAATGTTGACTGAGAAATTCGAAATAAAAGTATTTACCTTACATTGAAAAATCTGGTGCAACCATGCGTTCTTACCTCTGTCGCGGAAATGGAAGGCACATTTGACTGCTTTACGACCTTGCTTCCTCAATCCATCATAGAAGTGTTTAAAAAAAATAGTCACTAAGACTGAGAAAGTACCAAGAGAGAGTCGACAGCTTCGTTATGGAACGAAGGATCTCTATTGCGCGTTGTGAAAACGAAAGGGGAGTCCCCTAGCCCATAACTCTGTGCAAGCTTAAAACCGGAAGTGCGTGACTTTTGTCATGAAGCACCTCTATTCCTCCGAGTTCTCACGCGGTCTCGCTCTCTGCTGATATTGAGTCACGCACTCGTTCAAAAAAAATCAATTCTAAATAAATTCTTCGTGACGGAGTTGTCCTTGTACCAGGATCTCTTTCACTCATCTTTGACTCGGCAGTTAGTGGTCACGCAAACAATGTCTATCGAGAACAATATCTCAAGAACTCCTTTTGACAGGTTGACTGTGAAATTCGCAGGAGAAATCGCGCAGGACACTGATCGTTACGATCTATTCAAGCTCTGTGAGGACCTCTTCTTGACTGAGAATGAGAGGACGAGCATGTACAGAGAAGATATTCAGTCTGATGATCTTTCGAAGATCAGCTGCAGTGCGGAAGATAGGAAGAAATAAGGAGTTGTCAAGGAGAATAAGCTTATTGATGTCTATCAGAACAAATGTGGGATTCCATTGAATCATCAGATTCTGAAAGATCATGGAGTCTTCTTGATCTGTTAATGAGATAACTTCTCATTACAAAGACGCAATTTTTACAGAAGAATAAATAAAGGCACGCCACGACTTCTAGGCGAGAAGATACGACATTAATATTTGAAAATCTTCAAACGAACAATTAACACCCCGATGGCGTGACAAGAGAATCGTTCAAGTTAATATAATTCACTACTTCTTCAAAACTCACGAGTGAGACATTCTGAAGAAGATGAGAAGATTATTCAAAGGTGAATAATTTAAGTTGCCTTTGAAATCATGGTTGTCTCCAAAAGTGCAAGAACTGTTTTTTTTTAAATCAAGGTTGATTTCAAGGTTAAATTCACGAGTTGCCTTAATTAAATAACTTTAAAGTCTCTTCGAGTTATAGAGCTATTATTAGCTCTTCGGATTAGATTAAACCGTTTTGTGAACAATCTTTTGACGGTGGTATATATGCGTTGATAACGAAAATCTGAAAAGGAGAGGCGAACAGTAATTAATTTGACGTGAGCCACAAAAAAAGTTTAATGAAGACATACGTCAATCACCTAAAGAGTCCTCTTTGGCGCTCCTTTCCGAGTTCCTAGAAAAGAGTATGCTTAGCCTCCATGCTAATGAAAACTGTTCTGATCCTTCGAAGCCTGATCCATTAGTTTGCTCCTCACAACAAACGAGACGTAGGTCCTTCATCAGCAGTGTCACCAGATTTATTTAAAGTGAAATTTCGTGGTGAAACAAGAAAGCATTTTCACTGGCGAGCACGACAATTACAATCCTCGACAATAACATGAAAAATCAACACCCTAATACCTTGCGATGAAATACAATGCTTAACTGGGTTTGTGACGCTAGACGCGTGACACGTGTGACAGAACAGAAACTAACAGAAAAAAAATGGCTTCGACAAAATCTCCTCCGCGGTCACAAATATGAGCTTATATTTGCTGGACTCTATCTTTTCCAAACGCATTCGTTTCCAAACACATCCATCCTCTTTCAGTGAGCCGTAGTCGTCGATGAATACAATTGATGAATTGGAAAACAACGATGAGATTGGCTCTTTTAATCGTAGACTTTGGCAATAAAGAAACTAAATTAGGAAACCACAATGCTTTCCGCTTCAATCTAAATATAACTTAATTGAGATCGATCTATCTAGCCGACACCCTGATTTTCCCTCTCTGTCCCATTATTTTCTCATAAGGTGTGCAATAAGTATATACCGACCTTAGGTTAGTTGGAGTGACTTGCACTGACTCCAGCGGCAGTAGTCCGTGGGGGTTTCGAGAATAGAAAGCCACTCTCTTTATGGTGCAAAAATACATACCTCTCAATTCTTCCTCTAAGCGTTGTGCTGAATAAATAAAAAAGAACTAAGTTGTAAGTTATGGTAGTTTGGGTTTAACGTTTTATGTTGTCGTTTATAATTACCGCTCAGATCCTCACCTCTTTTGCACCTCTGGGGCGTGCCCCTGAACTGCTTTCTTTCCTGAGTTTCTTTTGAGATCCTCTTCCCTTTTATAATTTCAGACATCATTGATTGGCGTGAAAATTTAGTTTGAATAGAAGTTCTCAGCAGATAATTCCATCGACTCAAACCAAAATAATTTGCTCACACATGACATGAACTAACGCTGATGCGTAAAATAAAATCCCTGCAAAATTTTCTCGTCACAGACATACGTTCATTGCCTTATTCGTCAGAATCATGATCACTGCGGAAGCCTGAAGCCCAAGTTTGTGACGTCATCTAAAATTATGTCACATCAAGGAAGAATACAAAGTTAATCTAACTGAGAGAGGTTATATCTCGTCATGTACTGGAGTATGTCACTTAAGAATCACTTAAAAACTACACCCAGTAATTTAACCGGCACAAATCACTTAGTTAAGAATGAAGAATTACTTTTACTTGTTTGGACGGGCTCATATCATCATTTGACTATTCGAAGCAAAGATATTATGAAAAATTCCTTTTCTTGTATTTATTTTCGAACATTTTAGCGCAAATGTTCCTCGGATCAATATTTTCTAGTAGATGGGACGCTCTTAATTTCCGACTCCACAACTTAGAGAATGAATAAATTCGCCTGAATTCGTGCGTTGAGGGATGTCGGAATAACTAAAGAAATATAATTCTTCCGCACCAATATAATGATTCACGTGTTTTCACCGGATTCCCCATAAAGACATATCGAGCCAGCTTTAGTTTACGTTTTACATTTGCACGAAATTGTAATGAATAAATAATGAAAGTACTGCAAAAATATTTGAAAATTAGTTGTTTGAAGTTTTCGAAATGAATTCTTTCAATTACACAAGAATGGCGTATAACTGCACATTGTCTATACCTATAGAACTTTGATTGTGCTTGAAAATTAGCGGTTTCCCATCAATATTGCTGATAGTTATCACTACGACATCTGCAAATTAATAATAGTAACAACATCTCAAAATACCTCATCATCAAATGCCATGAACCAACATTATAGAGAAAGCCCAATCGCCGAGGGAGACTGTTCGGCGACAGTTTTAGGCTCGAGGCATGTCAGGGGAACAACTCTGAAGCTTAATTGGTAGTACAAAGACACAATTACCATATTCAAAATGCAAATTTATAGCTGAAGTGTTGAGTTGTTGCCAGTATGTTCTTGTCTGTCAAAATGTTTTAACATTGTTTAAAAACAATTTTCCAATTTTCACTCATGCACGAATCACTAAGTTTAATATCAAGGCTTTTGGTGAAGACAGGGCATATCTGCTCTTTCTCGACCAAATGGCAGTTTTTTCAGGCAGAAATTCGGAATTTTTCCCTTTGCATTTAGAGTGAACAACAAGTCAAGATGTTGGTCGATATAAAGATATACTTTTAGCACAGATAACGTCAGAGCTTTTATACATCGCCTATCATCATAGCGTATGACAGCGTTCTTAAGGGAAAGCAGCTGGAGTCATTAATCTATTCAGCTTGTGTCTACACATCTTCATCTTAGGTTTAACAGTCAAACTGTAAATGCAATAGGTTGTTTTGCGTCGCGAAATAACAGAATCGAAATAGTAGTCTCAGCTGCTGCGGCAACATCGACTTCGAGAATCAGAGACATTCCGCTGTCACACAAACAAAAATGCATTCTAAGAGAATTTTGGCAGCTCATTGAGCCCATTAAGAGCGTCACAGGGAAGAAAGTGTTTAAACGGTAAGTGTTTTAAATACTCATGCACCATCTCTGGTTTGTTGTGTTTCATTTCCTAAAAAAAAAATTGAATGTAGGGTCTCAAGTTGACATTAGCTTTTTTATAAAAAATATCATACCACTAGTACTATTAGGATTGGAATCGTTTAAAATGGAGAAATAGGGGAAACAGTATGCTGATCCTAACTGGATGTCATGTTACACGTGAAAGTAGCTTACTAACACATGTCGAATCCAGTGGTCTAACTCCTTGGTATATGGGAAGGTCTTTGGCGAGATTATTCTTGATGACTTCCATGTTTTTTATTCTTCGTTACCATTATATCTTACCTCTATTTTTAGTTGCATGACGATCGAAACTTCAATTTCGATGGATGATATCCAAAATAATTCATCTGAATTGTTAGTAAACACTAAAAATTTGTTGTTCATTCGGTGATGACCATGGTATCGATAAAACACAGCGTTAGAGATAGACATCCGATTGAGTAAGCATTGAAAAACCTATTGTTGTATAAATTGTAAATGGAACTATGTTCATCAGCCGAAATGCGTGCACCTTTCAAACTCAATTTGTTTGTTTTTTAAAACGTTTACCTTTGGAGCCCAAATTTTTTTTTCCGTGAGGCTGGAGCATTTCGATGTATGTATTCTATTACGCCAATCAAGACTACTTAGGGATACATTTTGTTGTATAGCGCTGTATTGTGATGTAAATTGCAGTAGCGGTAAGTGTAGTGCTCTATAGGGGTACATACTATTGCTTAGGATCTATCAAATATTTTTGCTCGCGCGCGATTGATCAAAACGCAGCAAGTGACTGCATATCCCTCGGCTAAAACTAGGTGATATTTGAGAATATTACCTGAACGAGGTTCCCCAACTTGCAAACCTTACGTCCACCACGATAAGTAAAAAAGTCTCAACATTAATTCAACTCAGGGTGGTACTCTCCCACCGACGCAACACCACAGTTTCTCTATAAACTTACCCCTTTCTTAATTCAATTCAGTAAGCCGTTCATTGACATTTTTCACGTGCGTTACAAAATATTTGAAGGATAAAAAACACAACAGCTTCTCTTTTGCGCGAAAATATGTACGGATATTTGTCCATAGACATTATCTGTTCCTTGAAGCTCACAGTTTCCATCCATGTCCATCGGCGTTCAAAACCGTATGGCAATAAGGAGAACGATAGACAGTGAAAGAGATACAATAGAAGAGATGACGCGCTTTTGTAAAGTGGGTGGGGGCTTGAAACATGGAATGTTAGTACACTGTTAGCTGCACACATTATCAACTCAGCGCGCGGGTCAAAACGCATTGAAGTCCCCATAGGATCTGCTTTCTCTATATCTTACGTGCATCCTAAGAATATGGAGACAGACAATGTCAATCAACGCAGTTTTTGTATTTTTTACACTCTATATTTCTCTTACACAAAGAAGTAAAAAAATAAGCACAATAGAAACTGCATTAACTTGTTCAAGGCATTAAGTAAAGTTCACGTTAAAGGGAGACACTAAAATGAACCCATTTACTCCCAAGACTGATCATTATTTAAATTCTCCTCACAGTATTAATACACCGACAAACATGGTGTCAATAACAATTAGAGAAAATCCAAACTGGAAGATAATCTTTTACTAGAAACGTAATGTTACATCGAATTCTCGGAACAAGCGGCAGCAAAGAGAAACACATTCTTATTAGTTGGGAGAATGTTTCCTCAGAACTTGGGAGTTCATGAGTTAATTAATATCTACTGAGGTAAATGAACAATTATCTTCAACTTAAAATAAAAATAGCATCAAAACACTTCACACGAAATACACTGACATTATACAAACCATGTTTAGTTGAAACTGTCCCAGCATGTCTTTAAAATCCTATGTTACATCAGTATATTCAACCATGTGTGAGGTTAACTATTACATTTTACACCAGTATTTACCAATGGTAGTTACAATAATCTGCAAAACTAAGATTGATTTTACAAAGCTTTCTTCTAAAACAACAGTGATACAGTATATCTTAAAACTTTTGACCACATAACGGGTTCTAACCACAAAGTGTGCTCTAAATACCAAACTATAAATTCTTAAACCTGACAAAGATATTGTCAAACATCTTCAAACTAAGCTGAGGTAAATTTAAAGCAATGAAAAAAATTTGAAGAGGTAATTTTCAACAATTAGAAGTTTTATCCTGAAGCCCTGAACCTTTTCAACTACGCACTAGGTTTACATTAATTAATGAGCCTTTTCACCAAAATAATTCCCATTGAGGACTACATGGCTTACGTTAACTGCAACAAATTCTATGTCACATACAATAAAAGTCACACCTATGGAAACTTTAATTATAGTGAACTCTGCGTCCCTCTTTCCTAAATTAGATTACATGGATAATTTTTTAGCCTCTCTGTCGTGGTTCTTTAAAACGAACGGATAAGTGTTTGGTAAAACGGACAAAAATTGGCCAGACTCGTTTGATTGAAGACAGGGTTGTAGCCAGCTTTTTGACTAATTGTAAGCCTCTTACCTCAAAAATTTCAATTTTTGTTTCAACATTTGCAATTGTCATATTATCTTTTAGTAAAAGTCAAGCGGGCAGAAAACAATTGTAGGCCGGGCTTACGGAACTTGAGGCTGGCTACACCTCTAAAAGTAGGTGTAATGTCTCTAACATATGGTTAGTAAATTTAATAACATCATCTCTGATGTTAACTTCAAATTGAGCTTGGAATGGCAACCTTGGCACTGACAGAACTTGTTGAAAAAATGGTAATCAATTTTTTTTGTAAAGATGAAGGTAAATTGTAACAAAATCATTTATGATGTAGAAAACGGTCTAAGATCAATTCACATATTCAATTGACATTCATATTCAATAAAAGTTTTGGAAATAAAAATTCGCCAACTTTTGCAAATGATGAATTGTTTCTTTGCTTATCAAAAGCTTAGAGCATAAAGGTAATTAAAATCCGATGGAAGAGCCCCTGGTTGGGTAAAAGAAATAACCTTTCCATACAACTGATTGTAATACAGGAACAGAGCTGAGTGACATGTTGGTGGAAATGGAAACCTCGTTCATAACAGAGGCCTTGTTGCATTTCGTTCTCTTCTCAAGCATCTAAATTTAAGGTAACAAAAAAAGACAATTCCACTGATCAAAATATAATGAAATAGACTGCTTTTATTTCTTTACCAAAGTAAAGTTACACATCTCAAGTTCCATTAAACAAAAAAGTAAAAAGTAAAGAAAAATAGCCAAAAATTGTTTAAAATAGAGAGACATTTAAACCTTCCAAGTTCCTACGTCATTCTTTTGAGATGAAAAAAAAATTTATCTCATTTATTTGATTTTCTATCCAAATTTTCTCTTTCCTTTGCCATCAAGTCAAAAGTGAGGTCATCTCCAATCAGCATAAAGGGCGCCCAGTATTTGATGTCGCGGAACTTATCTGATTCTCTGAGGCTTTTCATGGCCAGGTTCAGTGACTTGCTTGTAGGTTTACCTTCTGCAAGGTGTTGATAAAAGCATTTCATGAACTCAAGAGTAGCCTCGTCATCAATCGCCCACAGGGACACCACAACAGACCGAGCACCAGCCCCCATAAAAGCGCGCGCAATGCCAACCACACCTTCAGCCTTGATCTCGCCCCGACCACTGTGGCAGCAACTGAGCACAACAAGTTTGGCGCGAAGTTGAACATTCGACACATCTCGAATCGTTAAAATGTAGTCCTCCTTCTCCGTAGGCACAGTAGATATTCGATCTAGGTCAGGTGTAAGGGCAATTTCGCCAGTTTCCGGACATCCGTGTGCCGCAAAGTGAACTAAGGAAACGGAACTGAGTCTTTTCAACACCTCACGTTTCGTGGCCTGTCTGCCAGTGATTGGCGTGATATTCAGAATTTTTCCGATCATTTCTACTTCTTCTTTAGCACACGGAAGCTGCTCGAGGGGTTTCAATCCCTCACTGTTAGTAACCTCGGATACCCACGGATCTCCCACAAGTAACGCACCACTGCTTTTGTGATAATCATCTGGGCAATCGGCAATGAGTCTAAGACTTGTTAACGATGGAGCGACTCGGATTGTGAACGATTCACACAGGTATTTAGAATTACCATCCTTCAATGCAGCGTAAGGAGCGATCCACAGGGGTCCATCAGGAATAATGAGTAGCTCATCCCCTTGAATCAGGTCAGCCACCGGCTTCATAACGATATCATACAAACTGCTCAAGCATCCATCTTGTTGGATGTGAGGTTGAGGGTTGGCTTCTTTGGTTGTCTCATCCACTTTTGAACAGCCCTCCCTCAAAGCATCCAAAGATCGATTCTCGCATCTCACATTAGAACGAACACCAAGTTGTGTATAGACACCGAGCATGAACGACTCAAAGGACTGGCTAGATCTACTATTCTCTGAAACAAAACCTTTAAGTTTACTTTGTCTTAACTGAACTTGTTTTCCTTCGGACACAACCCAAAGATTGACGTTAGCTTTGTCCACTGCCTGAAAGACAGTGTTTGATGGAACGTTTTTTAAAACTGCGATATCTTCATCTTCTCCCTTGTGCTGACTTGTTCCACCAAAAAAACTGGATTCCATGAGGTCGGTCAGGGCTTGAGCTCGTCCTTTCTCAGCAACAAATAAGGCTTCATCTACATTACCTTGTTCTACGAGAACTCTCCACAAACCCGTATACGGCATTCGATGCTGATTTCGAAAACTAACTTTCCACTCATCTTTAGATTTTAGAAGTACTCTCAAGGAATTGTATAAGTTTATGCTAGCTTGGTAATGTTCAACGGCTTTTGGTAGTCCACCTTGCAGCTCAAAAACGCATCCTAATGAATAGTAGCCAAATGCCTCCAAGCATTTGTCTCCTACTTCTATAGCTATTTTAATTTGTAGATTGTGGTACTCTATGGCTTTTTTGAAATCACCCATACTAAAATAAGCAGTGCCAAGATTGCCATAAGCGTTACCCTCCCCATGCTTGTCTCTTACTTCTTTAGCTATTTTAAGATGTAGGTTGTGGTACTCTATGGCTTTTTTGAAATCACCCAGACTGTCATAAGCATTGCCAAGATTGCCATAAGCAACACCCTCCCCATGCTTGTCTCCTACCTCTTTAGCTATTTTAATATCTAGGTTGTGGTACTCTATGGCTTTTTGGAACTCACCCAGACCGTGATGAGCATTGCCAAGATTGCCATAAGCAACACCCTCCCCATGCTTGTCTTCTACTTCTTTAGCTATTTTAAGATGTAGGTTGTGGTACTCTATGGCTTTTTTGAAATCACCCAGTCTAAAATAAGCATTGCCAAGATTGCCATAAGCGTTACCCTCCCCTTGCTTGTCTCCTACTTCTTTATCTATTTTGAGATGTAGGTTGTGGTACTCTATGGCTTTTTTGAAATCACCCAGACTTTCATAAGCATTGCCAAGATTGCCATAAGCAACACCCTCCCCATGCTTGTCTCCTACTTCTTTAGCTATTTTAAGATGTAGGTTGTGGTACTCAATGGATTTTTTGAAATTACCCATACTAAAATAAGCATTGCCAAGATTGCCATAAGCGTTACCCTTCCCATGCTTGTCTCCTACTTCTTTAGCTATTTTAAGATCTAGGTTGTGGTACTCTATGGCTTTATTGAAATCACCCAGACCGTGATAAGCATTGCCAAGATTGCCATAAGCACCACCCTCCCCATGCTTGTCTTCTACTTCTTTAGCTATTTTAAGATGTAGGTTGTGGTACTCTTTGGCTTTTTCGAAATCACCCTGACTAAAATTAGCATTGCCAAGATGGCCATAAGCGTTACCCTCCCCAAGCTTGTCTCCTACCTCTTTAGCTATTTTAAGATGTAGGTTGTGGTACTCTATGGCTTTTTTGAAATCACCCAGACTGTCATAAGCATTGCCAAGATTGCCATAAGCAACACCCTCCCCATGCTTGTCTCCTTTTTCTTTAGCTATTTTAAGATGTAGGTTGTGGTACTCAAAGGATTTTTTGAAATCACCCAGACGGCCATAAGCATTGCCAAGATTGCCATAAGCGTTACCCTCCCCATGCTTGTCTCCTTCTTCTTTAGCTATTTTAAGATGTAGGTTGTGGTACTCTATGGCTTTTTTGAAATCACCCAGTCTAAAATAAGCATTGCCAAGATTGCCATAAGCAACACCCTCCCCATGCTTGTCTCCTACTTCTTTAGCTATTTTAAGATATGGGTTGAGGTACTCTATGGGTTTTTCTTCTCGATTAGAGAGGTCTATGACTTTCTTGACATCACCTGAACTTTCACTACGATGGTCATGACTAATAGGATCTTTCTGCTCCATGGACTCATCTCCCACTTCACTGACAGACTGAAGTCTTAATGACAACAAGATCCTATTGTTTTTGTCAATCTTTTTTATGTTAAGGTTAAAAAATGTAGAAAAAAAAAGGATAATGTTTCTGATCATATTGATATGTAATATATAGTCCATTTTAACATTTGCGTGCTTGGTTTCCAAGCCTCTGAACAAGAGCGATAGGTAAGGGTGACCTTGTTATGATAAAAACATTGCTGCTTTTTAAATGCAAACTACTTTGTTATTATCGTCACTAGATACTGGTCTATCACAATAAGGTAACCTTCAGCTTCACTCCAAATCAAAGGCTTGGAAACTAAGTACACAACTAAAAAATGGCTTATTAGGAGGGATTGCATGAAAGGTAGATGTTTTATCAACATTCAGTCTTAAAGTCAGTTATGAAGTTAATCTACATTTCAAAAAATTTTTCTTCTGTGTGCAGCCTCAAAATTTAACACGAAATATCTAGATTTAATCCCTTGTTTCCAAAAAACTCGGCAGCACTTGCTCAATTTTTAAATTAATATAGCTTTAACATCAGATGAATGTTTTACAGCAGTGGAAGAAATGAGTCTACAACACAAATATGTGTCTTTAAAATTTTTATTTGTCCATAGGAAAGCACAACGAAAGTTTCCGAGTCTCTAAGTAGTGGAAAAAGGTCGAAGGCAAGAAAATCTGCATAAGATATGTACCATGTATAAACTGGATGAATATTAGTCTTTTAACCCTTTAACTCCCATGAGTGACCAAGAGAGAATTTCTCCTTACAATAGCAATACAATATCAATCAGATAAGTGTTGAGAGCAAAAAAAATATCAATTTGGGGATAATTAGTTGATCCAATACCGAATTCTCTGAACTAACATTACAAAAATTGTACGGTTAACAGTAAGGATAATTACAAACTTGGTCTATGAATTAAAGGGTTATCTAAACTAATGTAACAGTTATTGGCATGGATAGCATAACTAAGTCAAATTGGCTAAAAGGAGTAATATCATTAATAATTCATGAGGTAATAGCTTTTCCCACGTTTTTTAATCACACACACTTATAGTATGAACTGACAAGTTCCCATCATAATTAATTCTTTGTATTTTCTCCCTTAAAACATCAAATTATGGAAACTATTTCCATTATACCCATGGTTAAAAATGAAAGATTTCTTCAAAGGATACAGCTAGTCCCTTATCACACCAAGTGATTGCTTCTTCAAATCTCTTCAATTCAACACAAGCAGTGGCTCCTGTAGGTAACAACACAAAAAAGCTAAATTATAGTTGTATCATAGCTCAATTCTGAGAAAAAAACCTGAAACCATTGAAATCATTACAGACTAGAAGAAAAAAAAGACAAAACAAAACAAAGAAACCAAGTGGAAAAGAATAAACAGGCCCTATTAGGTTTCAGTTAGATTTATTTAGCTTTTAAGACAACTGAAACTTCTAAGAACATTTATTAAATTGGGACCAACAATTCCCACAAAATCACGAGTTAGGTAAGTCTTGATCCTTACTTCTTTTTTTAAAAGAGCTAGATAGTGACTTAACATAACTGAAACCTGTGACTCATTGAACTTAAGGAACTAAAATATTCTTGCCAAAATTTTGCTTTCATATTGAGTTCTTCATCCCGCTCAAAATAATATTCTCATCATTAAATTAATGGAAAGTTAAATGGCATAACAGTCAAGAGCTGGATTTAAATGTACACCAAGGTGGTCTCCACCTCTTAATTAAAGTCAATTGAGACAAGATTGAATTTCATTTAACCTCATTCAACCTTAGAGTGTTGAGTTCTTTTATTATTATTATTATTATTATTTTTATTATTATTAATATTATTATTATAGCACAGCTAACATATCTAACCTCTCACAATTGCCTTAAGGAAAGTTGGATTTAACTCAATGGCTGCTTCTGCATCCCTTAGTGAATCCTGGTGATTTCCTGTTATTGAAATAAATATCTCTGATTAGCCATACATGTTGCAAACCAACTACCATTACTATAATTTTGGGAAGAACTTGTGATGCTTGTTGATATTTGGGTAAGAGGTTACTTCTTTGTATATTTGAGAGGCCAAGTTGAGATGTATCTTAATTTTTCCGGGCATGCATTCAAAATTATCTCTTTTTTCAGAAAACTACTGTTGACAGCCCATTAGCTTCAAAAGAGAAAAAAAATGCCTATTAAAGCTCTCATCATCTTACCAAGTTTAGAATGTGCAATAGCCCTGTTGTTGTGCAGTTTGGCTTTCAGTTCTTTCTCATTGCAGTTCATTTTAATTCCTTTGGTGTAAAAATGAATAGCATTGATGAAATCTCCTTTCTTGAAGGCCTCATTACCCTCATTCCTATAAACATCTGCTGTGGCTGCAAAGAAAAAATAAAAGAATTAAAAAAAAAAATAAAAGAATTAAAAAAAATAAAAGAAAAAATAAAATAATGTGTCAAAGTCTGTGGCTGTAGTTGATATCTATTAGTGTATAATCAGAGCTGCCAAGATCTGGAGATTTAAAATCTACAGATTTTCAATAGTTATGATGATGCTAATGATGTAGGTGAAAACATGGGTAAGAATAATGATGAATTATAAGCATCACTCAACTTGAGGCAAACCGCTGGGCATTTAAACTTTTGGATAGGTTTCCTAAAATTCCTATTCCCTGGGCAAAATTAATAACGTGTTCAAATGCACCACACAATTTTTAAGTAAAAAGCAAAATAATTAGCAATTTGACTTTCAACTAATTGATCAAGCTTTAAAAACTAATTGATCAAGCTTTAAAACTTATTTCTTAGCCTTATTTCTTCTGAGCCATTTGTTAGTGAAAGTGCTCTATCTACCTTTCAAACACCTCAATATTCAATGATAATTAACACTTGTATTCTACTGGAAATTCCCTAATGCCAGTCAACCCCCCCACCCACCCCTTTTGGCTTGGATGATGATCAAATGCCTGTGGGTTGCTCAAGGAGAAGGGAGGAAATGTTGAAGCTTTCAAAGTGATTGTTTCATTGTAATAGAAAGATGATGGTGATGAAGATGGTGGTACCTATGATGCAAACTTACACAATGAATGTTATATGATGATCAAATAAAGTCTTATTATAACTTTGTGTTATTGCTTTGAACTTTTAGAAAAGAAAATGACAAAGGTTTCTGTGCTATAGATCCTCTAAATGAACAGCATATTGTAATCGTAGAAGAGAGTCATGACTGGCCAAATATCTTTTAAAGTAGTCATACAGTGTATAATACATCCTCTTGAAACTAGTGGAATAGAAAAAGTTCTAACAATAACTGAAGCTGAAGCTCAACACAGCCCACCTTGCAAAGTGTCCTCATCAAAATCTGGTGCATTTTCTATGTCAGGCAAGTCTTCATTTTCACATGAAACTTTAATTGAACTTCTTCTTGTAGCCATAGCAACTGTAAGAAGACTGATGCTTCTTACAATGTTGCTGTTTTAAGTTATCTTGGCCTGAAAGAAAGTTGGTTGTAAATGGTAATAAACATCAGCTCAACATATTATCCAATTGTAAAATAAATATTTTTTCCCTTCTGAGAATGGGAGGGATACATAGACACAAAATCACAAGCAATTAATATCATACTACAAAAGCAGCAAAAGAACAAAGATATATATATAATATAATTCAATATTTATAAAATACATTTGCATTTGACTGAAATAAATTGGGCAAGTGTTGTAAGTTTGTATAATTTGTTTCAACAGCAATTCAAATTATTTAAGAGGCTGTAGGTAGTTAGGTAAAGTCTGTATTTGAGCAGTGGCCCATCCAGGCCCTGAGCTTATAATACTGGTTTGCTCACATGAAGTGAGTGGGAGTAACAACACCCCTTGGACGGCATGCCAGTCCATCCCCTTTCCCCCTGGCATTTCATCAAGCTTACCTGGCTATAATTTCTGCTACCCATTCAAAGGTAAACTTTACTCAGATACCAATATATCATTACCAGTTGATGAATTGGATTCCTAAAAATTAGGAATTAAAAAATTACTTTTAAACTATATAAAATAGTAAACATAAACACGTGAAATAAGCTGGAAATGTTTATAGGTTTTTGATCAAATGCATCGTAAATACGGGAGCACATTAAATTAATACTTATGTTAGCCTGACACGAAAGCTAGTGCAAAACACGATCATGATTGTGTGCATGACACGCAGACGAAACTGAAAGTGTTCCGATCATAGGCGCCTGCACAAAATCAAATCCATTACTTATTTTATCCAAGGTAAATGCCGGGTATTGCCTGCGAATTTTTGTGAAGTCGACAGCTGTAACTTGTTCAAACAAGCTCAGCTTAATTAGCTCTAGGTAACACGAAGCGGCAATATAGTTTATACACCCAAGAATCAAGTAAAAGTTAGCGATCCTCGTTAGTTAACCGCAGGGACGTCTTTCATTGCCGGAAATCAGAGAAAATTGGGACATATTAAGAGCATTTGAGGGAGAAAATGTTGACTGAGAAATTCGAAATAAAAGTATTTACCTTACATTGAAAAATCTGGTGCAACCATGCGTTCTTACCTCTGTCGCGGAAATGGAAGGCACATTTGACTGCTTTACGACCCTGCTTCCTCAATCCATCATAGAAGTGTTTAAAAAAAAAGTCACTAAGACTGAGAAAGTACCAAGAGAGAGTCGACAGCTTCGTCATAGAACGAAGGATCTCTATTACGCGTTGTGAAAACGAAAGGAGAATCCCCTAGCCCATAACTCTGTGCAAGCTTAAAACCGGAAGTGCACGACTTTTGTCACGAAGCACCTCCATTCCTCCGAGTTCTCACGCGGTCTCGATCTCTGCTGATATCGAGTCACGCACTCGTTCAAAAAAAATAAATTCTAGATAAATTCTTCGTGACGGAGTTGTCCTTGTACCAGGATCTCTTTCACTCATCTTTGACTCGGCAGTTAGTGGTCACGCAAACAATGTCTATCCTGAACAATATCTCAAGAGCTCCCGTTGACAGGTTGACTGTGAAATTCGCAGGAGAAATCGCGCAGGACACTGATGTTATGATCTATTCAAGCTCTGTGAGGACCTCTTCTTGACTGAGAATGAGAGGACGAGCATGTTCAGAGAAGGTATTCAGTCTGATGATCTTTCGAAGATCAGTTGCAGTGTGGAAGATAGGAAGAAATAAGGAGATGTCAAGGAGAATAAGTTTATTAATGTCTATCAGAACAAATGTAGGATTCCATTGAATCATCAGATTCTGAAAGATCATGGAGTCTTCTTGACCTGTTAATGAGGTTACTTCTCATTACAAAGACGCACTTTTTACAGAAGAACAAATAAAGGCACGCCACGACTTCTAGGCGGGAAGATACGACATTAATATTTGAAAATCTTCAAACGAACAATTAACACCCCGATGGCGTGACAAGAGAATCGTTCAAGTTAATATAATTCACTCCCTCTTCAAAACTCACGAGTGAGACATTCTGAAGAAGATGAGAAGATTATTCACAGGCGAATAATTTAAGTTGCCTTTGAAATCATGGTTGTCTCCAAAATGTGCAAGAACTGTTTTTTTTTAAATCAAGGTTAATTTCAAGGTTAAATTCACGAGTTGCCTTAATTAAATAACTTTAAAGTCTCTTCGAGTTATAGAGCTATTATTAGCTCTTTGGATTAGATTAAACCGTTTTGTGAACAATCTTTTGACGGTGGTATATATGCGTTGATAACGACAATCTGAAAAGGAGAGGCGAACATTAATTAATTTGACGTGAGCCACAAAAAAAGTTTAATAAAGACATACGTCAATCACCTAAAGAGTCCTCTTTGACGCTCCTTTCCGAGTTCCTAGAAAAGAGTATGCTTAGCCTCCATGCTTATGAAAACTGTTCTGATCCTTAGAAGCCTGATCCATTAGTTTGCTCCTCACAACAAACGAGACGTAGGTCCTTCATCAGCAGTGTAACCAGATTTATTTAAAGTGAAATTTCGTGATGAAACGAGAAAGCATTTTCACTGGCGAGCACGACAATTACAATCCTCGACAATAACATGGAAAATCAACACCCTAATACCTTGCGATGAAATACAATGCTTAACTGGGTTTGTGACGCTAGACGCGTGACACGTGTGACAGAACAGAAACTAACAGAAAAAAAATGGCTTCGACAAAATCTCCTCCGCGGTCACAAATATGAGCTTATATTTGCTGGACTCTATCTTTTCCAAACGCATTCGTTTCCAAAAACATCCATCCTCTTTCAGTGAGCCGTAGTCGTCGATGAATACAATTGATGAATTGGAAAACAACGATGAGATTGGCTCTTTTAATCTTAGACTTTGGCAATAGAGAAACTAAATTAGGAAACCACAATGCTTTCCGCTTCAATCTAAATATAACTTAATTGAGATCGATCTATCTAGCCGACGCCCTGATTTTCCCTCTCTGTCCCATTATTTTCTCATAAGGTGTGCAATAAGTATATACCGACCTTAGGTTAGTTGGAGTGACATGCACTGACTCCAGCGGCAGTAGTCCGTGGGGGTTTCGAGAATAGAAAGCCACTCTCTTTATGGTGCAAAAATACATACCTCTCAATTCTCCCTCTAAGCGTTATGCTGAATAAATAAAAAAGAACTAAGTTGTAAGTTATGGTAGTTTGGGTTTAACGTTTTATGTTGTCGTTTATAATTACCGCTCAGATCCTCACCTCTTTTGCACCTCTGGGGCGTGCCCATGAACTGCTTTCTTTCCTGAGATTCTTTTGAGATCCTCTTCCCTATTATAATTTCAGACATCATTGAGTGGCGTGAAAATTTAGTTTGAGAATTGTTCTCCATCGTTTTCTTCCTTTTGTTAGTTTTCTGTCGGGTTGAACAAGAAATCGCTAATAGAAGTTCTCAGCAGATAATTCCATCGACTCAAACCAAAATAATTTGCTCACACATGACATGAACTAACGCTGATGCGTAAAATAAAATCCCTGCAAAATTTTCTCGTCACAGACATACGTTCATTGCATTATTCGTCAACATCATGATCACTGCAGAAGCTTGGAGCCCAAGTTTGTGACGTCATTTAAAATTATGTCACATCAAGGAAAAATACAAAGTTAATCTAACTGAGAGAGGTTATATCTCGTCATGTACTAAAGTATGTCACCTAAGAATCACTTAAAAATCACACCCAGTAATTTAACTGGCACAAATCACTTAGTTAAGAATGAAGAATTACTTTTACTTGTTTGGACGGGCTCATATCATCATTTGACTATTCGAAGCAAAGATATTATGAAAAATTCCTTTTCTTGTATTTATTTTCGAACATTTTAGCGCAAATGTTCCTCGGATCAATATTTTCTAGTAGATGGGACGCTCTTAATTTCCGACT